GTATGTCGAGGATACTGGCTGTTGAAAACAGTTTTTGGTGTTATAGAATTAAATTAAAATACTTCTTTTGAAAAAGAACCAAGAACGTACCTGATTTCTTTGTATAAAAATCTGTTATTTTCTTCATTTTCCGTCAAACGTTGTACACTCTTCAACAATACTCAAGCATTCGGTCGGTCTCAATCCCTCTCGTCTACTTTTCAATGAATGTCACCTGTTCATGTCGCTTGTTATACCTGAACCTGATACGACCTTTGAGAAATGTACATTATCTTTTCATAACTTGACAAGCAGTCTAATGGTAAAAGTGAAATAACTTCGTAAAAACAATTTTATTCTATTATTATTTTACGAAGAATCAAGCAAAATAACGAAAAAAAAAATTCTCAAAGGGGGGGGTTGCAACCCCCTCAACCCCTCCCCTGGATCCGCCTCTGGCCTGTCACCCCTTGCAATTTCGATTTTGATGCTTTTTGGACAGTGCCCTGCTGTGCCTGCAAAGCAACATAAGATATGGGCATGGTTCTTTTTCGTGTCAAATAGAGTACTTTCATAATTCTACAATGATTTACTTGGCCTGTTTAATGTGAAGAACGTTGAGAAACTTATCCTATATAATTCGTAAAGTTTGATGTGAATACATGCCAAAAGTTTGCCATTATGTTGTCCAACCCTCTCCATTGTCTCCACATTCTGTCATTTAAATAAGACTGGAGGAGTTTTCTTGGCATGCCTCTTCTGTCTTCAACAGGGCCTTTTAGATTGTTCCAGGCAGACTCGGCCTCCTGGGTATGGACACCAGCGGCTGGTTCTATGAAATTGTTATGGTGGACAATGAGCTGATGCTGACCAATGTGATTTGGCAAATGTCATTCCAGGTTTCTGTATGTGCCCCATTCTATGGATGAGTCGTGCATGATACAGCATGTCACCCCCACCAAATGCAAATTGTATGTTTGTCAGAAGTTCTTCCTTTGTCATCAGACATTCTTTTCAACCTTCCTTCGTCTTTTCTGTTTCACACAAAACGGACATGTATTGTTTAATAATAGTCATGACACTTCTTGCTGCTGTGTTCCCTGCTTGAGAGCCATGGTAATAATAATAATAATAATAATAATAATAATAATAATAATAATAATAATAATAATAATAATAATAATAACAGTTTATTCACAGCTTTTCTACCTAGTAGCTATACATTTGTGAAATCCTACAAACTAAGAAAATATAATTATATTTATTATGTGAAAAAAAGTATTTACAAGAAAAAAGCAATTACATTTCTTTAAAAGCATTGGTAATTAAGCAATTAAACACTGGAAGTAGCTATACTTACAGTCACCCCTTTCCGGCGATCTTGAGATAACAAGGCTATTACTTGTCACTTTCATGAGGTAGTAGTCATGAGCTTCATCATCCTCTGCAACCATGGCAATAATTCTGTGCTTACTCACAAGATCCACAACATGTTAATGTTCTGGCTCCGTTGGGGGTCGCTCCAACTTGATTTCGTGAAACTCATCCACCATGTCCTGATTCTTGTAAGCAGCACAATTGGATCACATAAGCTTGATACAGGTTCATTGAGCACAACGTCTCAAGTGAGCTTGATTGATTTTCCATCTCAGGAAACTGTACTCAATTTGTTGAAACTGAACTCAAATCAATTTGTACTTGGTCTTCATTTACTGTGCATGACAAGTAATATTGCTTGTCTAAACAACCGATGTTGCCATCAAGCTCGGTAATTTTGAGGACTGCAAATTTTCCAGGGGGACTGGTTAAAATGTTATCATGCTCGATACCCCACAAACAATTTTGTTTTGCATGGAGTGACTTAAATTTACATCATTTATAGTGAAATAACAAGAGATCTAGGTGCATCAATAGTGTCAGTGATTTTTTACAAAAGATATAATATTTCTTTTTTACACACCACAAAAATCGAATTAATAAACTGCTATGGTGGCACAACGTTTTGGTATACCTTGTGCAAATCTGCATTAAAAACTTATTTCTTTGTTTAAAATCTTGTTTGATGTCTTTCAAACAATTGCTTTGACAAGATAGGAGCTGTGTGGGCGATGGTTGGTGCTACTCTTTCAGGGTCATCTTCAGATAGAGGCACATGTCTGTCTATATGCAATACACCATCTATTTGGCTGCAAAAAGCTTTGGCCATGAGTATAGGAATGTAATCATAATCTCTATTTACTTTTATGTTGCACATGTTCCACTCTGTTGTGCATTCATTG